TATATATATACACACGATATTAAGACCGTTAATGCTCCCATTACCTAAGTAAATTGCAGAAAACTTGCGATTCATCACTTTAATGAATCACCTTAGTTTAGTTAAGTGATATACATGCTCGAGCTTAGGCGGTAACATTTATATTTTATCAAGAGTTTTTGTATATTCTTAATTATTTATATTTATTATGTCATGAGAACTAATTTTGTTACTATCATTTAGAAAGCACAAGACGGAAATAAAAAATCAGAGCTAATTGTCTTGGACGCCAAACGTTCGAACGCAATAAATATAGGAATGACGAAACTACCACCAAAAGGTGCCATTAAAGCCGCCATCTTAAAAATGGATACGACTATTATGAATAGAGAAGGCATTGAGGTATATTATTATTATATACTCAACATTATTGTGTGTAAATTAAACTTATCTAACTTAAGAACAATATCATGTATTTAGAAAATTTTAACCACTATGATGCCAACTGAAGAAGAAAAAAAGAAAATTGTCGAAGCTCAGTTGGAAAACCCTGACATTCCTTTAGGCTCAGCGGAACAATTCCTTCTAACTTTAGCTTCGATAAGTGAGCTGGAAGCTAGACTCAAGCTGTGGGCTTTCAGGTTGGATTACGAAACTATGGAGAAGGTAGGCTTCAATTGAATCTTAAATTAATTTCTAACTAAATAATATATTGCAACTTAAATGTTATTCTTATTTAAGTTAGTTATTTTTTCAAATGAAGGAAAAAGTTTCCGTATCATGATCTGTGGCAGAATAATTGCCAAGTCTTAGCAACTTCCGAACAGTGGCCAGCGAGAAACTAAAAGAAACATTATAGGAAGGGACCAACAAACACCTCCTAGAAAAAAGGAGGCCTCCGTACGGATAAATTCAGTACTCCGACATAACGAGTATGAATTGCGCAGTAGGGAAAATTAAAAAGATGTCACAACGACCGAACTACAAAACTGCGCCATGAGGGAAAGATAAAAAAGGAGTCATGATTTTCGGACTACTAAACAATCGAAATTTTAATTTATGGTAATCCGTGAGAAAACTTCCTCTTCTAGGAGGTATTGGACTAACTAAAAGGGTATAACTTGTAGTCACCACCGAGAAATCCTCTACATGTTCTCTTTTTTTAAAAAAGCAATTTGACGCCTTGACGATTGTAGTTGGCGTGACAGAATACCCAAATTAAGAGATAAAAAAAAATAACAAATGAATCATAAATATTTCTAAAATTTTTATTATTTAGAAACAATTTTAAATAATTAATTTTTAAATGGTGAAATAACTTTGTTTTTATCTCAAATAGAGTGAGAAATTATACTTATTGTTATTATTTGAGATATTGCAATTGCGTATTCTGAGTTGTGCACCTCGAATTTGTTTTAACATTCTGCTCAATGTATATTCAATGCACATGATACAGGGTTCTTAAACACGTCTTAATATTTTATGTGCACCCTGCCTTCATAAGTCATTTCTATCCGTAAAAGTTTTGTTTGTTACCTATAAATGCAGCTTTTATAATGTCTGTCAACAGTATTGGGTCCGACGATAACTCAGAGTCACAAAATTCTCAATATAATAAAAATAAAAGTTCTCAAAAATCTCATGAGCGGACTGTAATAATTAAACTCCACTTTATTAACACAAGTCAATTAGAGAAACGCTGTTTTCACACATCCGAGCTCTTCGGATTCATAAGATACACTAATTTTTCATAGATGGCGCTTCTGGCGTCAACAAGTATGTACAAATGGAATATTCAGATAGCAACAGAATACTACTTGCAAAGAGGGAAAAATTGTACTCAAGGGAGGGATTCTGTTCAATTATAATTCAAATTAAATTAACTTATCTGATCTTTGTGATTAGGAAGTTGCTGAGCCTTTGATGGATCTCAAACAAGCCATCGTTGAGATAGAAAGCAGTGTGACATTTAGAGCAGTTCTCAGTACACTACTATGTGTAGGAAACTTCCTAAACAACACAAATGCAAGTATCTCATTCAATTCAAATACTTCTTAGTATTTCTTATTTTAGCACCTTTATTAATGTTATCTCTTGTATCAATTGAAATTACCACGATTTACTTAACGCAGGACGCAATTCTCTATTGGAATGATTTCTATGTTGCTTTTTTGTTCATTCATGTTCAGGATCTCGTTTTTGTTCACAATTTGATCTTCTTTCTATAGTGTTTTGACCTTAGGATTAAACTGTTTTGATGTAATTCGTTTCCATGTTGCTCCAACTTTTGATTTAATCCGGGACCAATTCTATTTTAGCATAGGGATAACACTCTTGTCAGTAGAATTATTCATAGCGAACTACATTATACTCTTTTGCAAGTTAAGAAAAAAACCATTATCACTGTGGAGAGAGCCTGTTTGCATCTAAGTGTATGCCAAAGGGAGGCCAAGCTCTCACCTCGAGACTATAGCAACATCGCCAATTCTCGAAACGACGTTGCACAGCCTTCTTTTCCCTCACTTTCTTAAATCGTGTGAAATGTGGAATTGAATAATCAATTAACAAGTAAGAAGAATTAATGAAAATGATATTCTAAAAATCATAACAAATTTTCGGCTTTCTGAAAAAATAATAAATATTGCTTCTCTCATACGATTTTCTTTTACAGCGAAACAAAAGTAAAAATAACTTTTTATCTCGCATTTGGTCTTTTAAAAGCACGTCAGTTTAGCTATTTTTAGTGGTCCCATATAAATTTAATGCTCTTGCAACATCCTATAGTTGTTTCTATTTCAAGATGTCAAACTGGTAACCATTTGTGTTTACAGGCAAAAGGTTTTAGTTTAGATTATTTAAGTAAAGTTCCTGAAGTGAAGGACACCGTCCACAAGCATTCACTGCTACACCACATCTGTACTATGGTGATGGAAAAATTTCCCGATTCTACCAATCTCTACTCGGAGTTCGGTGCTACTACCAGGGTCTCCAAAGTAAATACACATTCTTTCCTTTTTATAACTTACTGTCCTAATTATTTCCGTCCGCAAGACACCATTGCGCAGTCAATAGCCAGTAGACAAACCGTCATTTCATAGTCAATAACCAAATTTCACCCAAGTCCATTTTTGTATTATATCGCTGTTAATCACCAGTAGTTAAATGACGAAATCGTCATTTCACAATCAGTCACCAGTAGCCAAATGAAGTCAATCTACCCTCAATAACAAGTAAAGACTCGGCATGACGAAAGTCTATCATTTGTAAATATTGCAACAAATAATAAGCCCTTGAACGTGAAAATTCGTTCATTAGAACAAAAGTTATTCAAGATGGACCCTTTTTTTGCGCACTGTACATATTATATGTTTACTCTAGGTTTAACTGAATTCACTTTTTCTTCATTTCAAATTATTTTGATGGGCGAAAGAGAATTTACCATGAAGAGCTTTTCTCGCGTTATGACGTCGCCTTAATTCTGTAACACTGATTATTATAATTTCTTATTTAAATAACAGGAATTAAGGGACGGAAGGGATGTAAGTTAGCACTGTATGCAAAGAACTGGATAAATTCATCTATAAGTGTCTTTTTATTATTTTATTTTGCACCAAATAAGTTGCGTAAGTGATATTGCTTCTATAGAGTTCTTGATAAGTCTTTGCATCCAATAAGTTGCATAAGTTTGAGCAAAATTTCAAAACAATTCTGGTCAAATAGTTTCTAACAAATTAATATAATTAAAAAGTTACTAATTTTAATAAAGAGTTCTCTCAATTCTCTTCTCCTTTAACATTGAATTTAGATTCATTATAATTTTATGTACAACGTTCGTTTTCATTGCAGGTAGATTTTGACGAATTAGCAAAAAATTTAGTGAAAATGGAGACGGAGTGCAAAGCATCATGGGAATATTTGAAAGCAGTGCTAAAGCACGATTGTATTCACATCAGTAAATCTAGGTAAGAAAAACATATCTTTTACACAATTTTATAACAATATAATTTAATAAATATGCAGATTTTATTATTTTGTGCTTAACAGTGACATAAAACAATTTTTATATCTGATAATTAAAATTCAGGATGATCAAAGATTCCTTTTTAAAATAAACCATTTTTTAATCAGATTATCTGAATTCCTGAATGATTGTGCAGAAAGGATTATTATTCTAGGAATAATTCACAGACGTGTTGTTAATAGGTAAGAAACTATTGTTTTTATAAAATCGCATATTTTATGTGTTTATCTTAATTCATATATTCTGTTTTTAAGATTTAAGAAACGTAAGAGATATAATATGGCTGTTTATTTTAATTGTTATAAATCGTTTATATTCAAAATTAGATGGCTTTACTAATTAGAAAAAGTTCTTTATAAGTCTTCGCGAAACAAACCGAAGTGTCAAAATTTTGATATAAGTAACGCAAAAAACAATGTAGCGAGAACAAATACAAAAAAAGTTAAAACATATATTTCGGATGAATCATGTTCAATGACAAAATGATTCTGTGCTATTAAATGTAAGAATGATTAATGAACATATGTTCATCAATAAACATGTCATAAAGCAGATAACTGTTTTGATGTTGTGGACCGACGATTCCAAAATAAATCGAAGCATTTGCATCGATGGAAGATAATTCATGGAGTGCTATATTCTTTATAAACAGCTATTTTCAATGAACGCTGCTTAGTTCATTAAATAAATAATTCCAAGAAACTGAGGCGGTATTACTTGATTAAAAACTTCATTTGCTTCAAAAATATACAAATTAGAAATAACATGTTTCGAGCACTCAACAGGCCAGACGTGAATAAGAAGTAATAAAGTACTTTAAAATATAAAATGTGAAGTTGCCAGTGAAAAATAAAGATGAGAAACAAAACTTAAAAAAACCATAAAAGCCTTAAGAGAAGAAACAGAACAAGAAAAAACCACTGTGGTTAGAAAGAGAGGCAGAGGGTAAAATATATTTTCACGCGCTATGGAGAGGTTGTGAGGGACTAATGTCGTTAACAAGAGAATCAGCATTCATATGAATAAAACAAGATTCCAAGACATCAAGATGAGCTGATGTGACTGGGGATTTTGGCATTGTCGAAATAGAATTTATGTTCAAGAATCCACCCATGTGCAGCAATAATTGATTCTTCTAATTCTTAATAACAGACATATCTATCGTGTTCTTTAAGTCAAAAATCGCGTCTAGTTTGTCCGGCATAACCAAGGTTCTAAATGCCCCCAACAACTATCAAAACTAATAGGACACATTAGACTAACTCTAGACGCAGAAATTTATTTTACTTTACCCTTTTTGATGCTAATTCTAACCACCCTAATCGTACTTTCGTTTTCCAAGAATTAAACCTTTGCTCTGACTTTTCTTCTTTAAACTCTGAACTTAACTTCCTCTTCTGAACTCACTATACCCAAACATTCTCATTTTTCAAATCCCTAACAGAAAACTCGTTTGTTTCTCCCGATGGTCACAAAATTGCGAACATCCTCTCCCGTTTTTGATTTAAAGTCATTTTGAGGCCTGATTAACAAGTCTCTTTACGATCCTATTAGTTATGATAATCGCATTTAACACATTCCTTGCCATGCTACTACATTGGACAAACAAACAAGACGCACTTTAAAATTTAGACTTGAGGTGCACGTTAGATATGTCCACTATCAAGAATTCAAAAAAAAATGTTATAATATAGTGTTACAATATAATATCACATTGCACAATATCGACAATACCAAAATTATTTCCATCCCAGCCAAATCAGTTCATCTAGATGCTTTGGAATCTTGTTTTATTCATGTGAATGCTGATTTCCGTCTTAATCCCCTTGTTCCTCAGCACCTGCATTTTACCCTGATTTGTCTCTCTCGGATACTGTATTCTTCTTGTTCTGTTTTACATATTTTTTCTTTCAGGGATACTGTGGTTTTTCTAGTTTTTCTCACATTTAGATTTCGATTTTTCATTGACAACTTTGCGTTTTCTATCCCAAATCACTTTTGCTTCTTCTGATTCATCTGTGGCAAGATTTGAAAATGGGCGCCTGTTTTTGAGAGCTTGAAACATGTTGACTGTTATTTTCATTTTTTATATTTTTGAAGCAAATCAAGTAATGGTACTTTTTTCAGTTCGAATTCCTTTTCTTTATATTTTTTACTAATACATGACATAACATCCGATTAGATCTTAAAAACGTCGAAAAACAATACGTTGTTCATAAATCCTGTTTACAATTTTAAAATTACCTATTTTATGAGAAATAACTAATGTTTATGCGACTTTTTCTTTCTTTAAAAAAAAGAAGAAAAAAACTACTTAAGATTTTATATCTACTAAGTTAAACTACTAAGATTTTGCAACGCAAATATTATTGAATAAATTTATTTCGAGTTTCAGATTTCGATTTATAAGACCACTTTGTTTAACAACGGGGCAAAAAATGATTGTGCAGTATAATTTAACGTTTTTGACCACTATCAAATTGAATTATAAACAATTAAAATCAGCAATTTTCGGCACGAAATTATTTTTGGATAAACCAGTTATAATACCTCGATACATAATGTTAAATGTTTGTTATAGTATGAAAAAAAGGCATTAAGTAATATTTGAAGCAAATCGGATATGTTCATTGGATTTAAGACACCTCCAGTGAGTCATTTGAAAATTCTATAGAATTCACAAGCAATTTGCTAAGTATTTAATCGTTTCATACTTTGCCGGACAATTTTCGGCTCTTTTTAAAATCTTAGTAAATTAAATAAATTTCAAAATTTGCGAACTTTGAAATCCAAAAATGCTTAGTATTTGAGCTAAGTAGTCCGCTCCTCATTCCATATTCTTAATTTGAAATTTGAACAATTATCACTTATTTTCTTTATTTCGACAGGTTTATAAAATTACTCGTGTTCCTTGGTTTCCCCTCTCATTCCATTCGGGAAGCAAAGGTCCACACAGTATGCAAAGTAATCAGTGAGTTTTCCCTTGAGTACAGAACATGCCGAGAGAGAGTTCTGCAACAAATTGAAAAGGCTGCAGCTCTCAAAGAAAGAAACAAAACAAAAGGGAAAATTGTGGCACAGGTAAGAATACATATGTGTATTTATTGGTATAGTACAGTGCATCTTAGAAAATAAGTCGCTACGAACCGAATGGAGTCACAAGAAATGTGTATTTAAATCTTTTTTTTTTTTTTTTTACATTGTGAAATAATATATTGAAAATCGCACACTGGTTCAGGTGGCTCAGTTGACGCAATGTTTCTGTTTCTTTAAGAAATATATTTTTAAAATTGTCCGTCTTCAACGAATGATTTGTCTGTCTTCAGCGAAGAATTATAGACTCTACACCGAATGATCGCTTTATTTAATCTAGAATACAATTCATGAAAAGTACAATGAGCCAGGCAGTTAAGAGGCCGAAATGTTCTGATTCTTTTAATATATATATTTATTTATATATACAGGGTTATTCATAATTCCCTCCGCCTGTAAACGCCATTTTTCTTTACTACAACTGGCTTCAGTGTTACATGTTACTGCCATCTACCGGCAACTGCTTAAATTGAAACTTGAGTACTTTCGAAATAATTTCATACGTTCTTTTTTGCCATATTCATCTTCGTTTTTTTACTATAACGCTTCGAAGCCACGGAGGGAATTTGAAATGTTTATTTTTATATATATATCTATATATATAAAAATCTCTTGTCACAGTTTTAGTGGTTAAACTCCTCCTAAACGGCTGGATCGATTTTGATGAAATTTTATATGTATATTCAGTAGGTATGAGAATAGGTTTATAACTAATTTTTTTTTCATTTTTTGGACAGATTTAACGTATATTTTAAATATATCTTTATTTAATCATATTCCAATCCAAACTAGACATAGAAACCTGATAAATCAAAAAGTAATATTCACGCACGTTGCAACAATTCACTTTAAACTCTAATACTTATGCTCGCCCTTAAAAGAAGAGCATCAAATATATTTGCAAGTATGTGAATAAAGGCAGTGATATGGCAGTATTTCGAGTTGAAAATACCAATGTGACCGCTTTTCCAGTGAATAACAACGACGAAATAACGCTCTACCAAATTGGCCGGTACATCAGCTCCAATGAAGCTGTTTGTCGCAACTTTGGATTCCCTATTCATGATCCTACCGTTAGTCATTTAGCCGTCCATCTTGAAAACGGTCAGCGCGTATATTTCACGAACGAGACAGCGATTGACAGAGCTATAAATCCACCAAGAACTACACTCACCGAATTTTTTTGAATTGTGTAATCGTGCGGATGCGTTTGATGCCTTTGCACAGACATTACTCTGTTCAGAAGTACCACACTATTTCACATGGGCTCAAACAAAAAGAAATGGACTTCCCGCAAGCAAGGCACACCGATGAAGGCCGTTGTCCCGGTTTATTCAAATCAAACGCCTTGGGGAGAGCATTTACAGTCAATCCAAGGCAGACTTAGTGCTTTTATCTTCGAATGTTGTTGGTTAATGTCACCGGCTCATTGTCATTTCAAGATATACGTAAAGTCGATGGACATCAGCATCCAACGTATAAAGATGCAT